TCCTCATAAGTCTCATTTATTATATTGGCCTTTTTAAGGATATTCTTGAATAACCTAATAACTGTAGTTTTGAACTCAATGTTCAATCTTTTCTTTTCCTCCATCTCCTTCCTTGTGTCCTGCCTCTTGTCTGCATTTTAGTTGTTTTCCTGATTTGATGGAATAGTTTTGTGTGCTAGGTGTTCTGGTAGAGCCCAGTAGCACAGCCTTCCCAGTTACCTGCGGTGGACAGTCTTGGTGTAGCCCTTTGTGGGCTGTGTGTGCAGTCTTGTTGTTAAGCCTTGCTTATTGTTGGTATCACTTGGAAGCGTTGATCTCCAAGCCAATTGGCTGTGAGGATCAGCAATGTCTCACCTAGGAGGGCTTCTGTACTCTGCTTGGATGGGGCAGGGTCTCAGGGTGGCGCAGACAATCTTTGGATTCTGGCCAGTCCCTCCTTAGAGAAAGCCAGCCTCTGGGAGAGTTTAAATGGGGCGGAGTCTCGGGTTGGTGCAAACAAGCTTTGTTTTCCCTGTTGGCTCTTCCCCAAGTCCCACAGTAATGGCCTCTGGCTTCACACACCTCAGAGAGATCTCTGCCCACTGCCTGATAGTCTGGCCTCTCCCTGTCTGGGGCCGTCTATCAGAGCAATAGGGTGATTCTGTTTTCCTCTTGAACAAGAAAGCCAGCTGCGTGTTAGCTGTCTGCCCTCTCCATGCGCCGGGAGTAAGCTAGTAGCAAACTCAGCCAGGCCAGCCCTCTCCTTGCATCAGGAGTACACCAGCAGCAATCTCTGTCAGACCCTCCTTCTCTGCACTGGGAGTAAGCCAGTGCCCTTTTGCACACACAGTTCTCCATACCTTCACAGTTCCTGAGGTTCAGCGTGCCTTCTCTCTCTTCCCAGATGGCAGAGCCTCTTCTCAGCTAGCCATCCAGTGCTTTGGGGCAATGACTACCCTGTTTCCCAGTTCTAAATTCAAATTTGTTGTAGTAGGCTGCATTCGGGTGTCTACCCTATGCCGCCATCTTGGTTTCTTGCCTAGTGTTCCGCTTTAAACAGCAGTTCTATGTCAGTAGGCAGTTTGGTAGATGGAATGTTCTTTGGTCCAGAAAGAACCAAGGCTTAATTGAAGAAGCAGCTGAACACCTGCTACTGACTTGAGGAAAAAGGTGAACAATATGGATTAGAACCTGTTCTTATCCTGGACCAACTATCATTAGTATATTTCCCCTTTTTTCTTCTTTTCTTTGTTTATGTTTTGGACCAAAAAATCAGGCCATCTTCCTAGAACATCTTTAACTCTCACAGAGCGATTTGATTATTATGATTTTAGTTGTTTTCACTTTGATAAGGTAAAAATTACTAGGCTCTTTAATATTTTCCCTTTCATCTTTCTTTTTTAAAATAGTGTATTTCCTTCAAAGCATCAAGAAATTGAAGCAGGGGGAGGAAAATATGTTACAGTATCTAGTTTCTTTCTAGATGGTTATAATTCTTGTTGGGCCACTGCCTTTTGGTAAATGAGAATGACAGTCTCAGAAATTAATTAAAGCTTTTGAGGTTCTTCACACACTAGACTCTACTTGTCCTGGAATTCCTTACTTGAAATATTGCTTTAAAGTCATTAAGGCAAAACACATGGAATTCTGATTAAATACAAAAAAAATGCATTTTTTAAAAAATCATTTGGCAGTAAGCTTTACTTAAAAGTTATCATGTGAAGGAAAAATAAATTTTCTTAAATAAAGACCATGTTTATTATGAACATCACTTCAGACTAGAACTGTGAGAAGAAATTTGACTTCAGGGAGATATGACCTTTAGAGCTGGAGACGTGAGGGAAACAACAGCGTGGTTCTGTTTTCCAGCCTCTTTTTTTTAACCATGAATTAATTCAAATTATTTTGGACCTAAATTTCAGACTAATCTTCTTATCACTACCCTCAGCAAAACTATAGAGTAAATATTATTTTATTATAGGTTTTCTTATAACAAACAACTAGTATCTTTACACTCTTTGTACCCAACAACCAAAATTCCTAAGAAGTTGACAAGGGTGTGCTTTGTGGGCCTGCCTGCCTTTCTTTTTTAAATATATTTTATTTTATTTTTTAATTAAATTATTATCTGTGTACATATACCATTGCTCCCCCCCCCATAAATGCCCCCCCCCAGAGTTTTGTGCCCATTGGTTGTACTTATATGCATGTATGCAAGTCCTTCGGTTGATCTCTTATCTACCCCAGATCTTCCTCCCCTCCCCGCTGTAATTTGACAGTCTGCTTGTTGCTTTACTGTCGCTATATCTATCTTTTGGTTCTTCAGTTTATAATGTTCTTACAGTTAAGACGAGGCTATCCTTTGGAAAGGGAAGGATTCAACAGCCCTAGGGTCAACTTCAGAGGAGGTGGATCTGGAGTGGGTGGAGTACAGTACATGGAACAGAGCTTAAAAAATCTAAGAAGCAGCATCCAGGGAAAAAGTAAAACCAAACCTAGGTAAACTAAACAAAGCAGTCATGATCCCAAACTGGGTAATGGGAGGAGGAGGATCCAGGGAAGAGGAAACAGGGCAGCCGGAGCCTGGGGAAGCCAGATGAGAACTACAGGGTTCAAAGCATAAGGTGGGAGGTGGGGTCTGGGGTAAAGCAGAGCTAAGATGCTGGTAATATGGGACCTAGGGGTGGTGAGGTGTCCTTAAGGTGTCTATTTGACTCACCTGACCTATCCTAACTGTCCTAGTAATTAGGATATAAACTCTCAACTCTAAACCCATCTTTCCGTATTCTGCTTTGTGAAGCTAGGCTGGGGGCATATGGACCCAATGGCTTCATTGCCAGCTTCTTTCCTGTTAGCTAGGTTCAGCCCAGAGAGGATGCTAGAGGGGTATTACTAGGCATTAATTTTTGGGAAACAAAATTACTGAGTCCTGGCTACCAGACATAAGTGAGCCAGGTCACTAGGCTATTCAGATTCGGCAAGCGCATTTGGCACAGTTCTAGAGTAAGTAGTCAATGCATGTAAGGAAAGGAGCGGGTGGTTCTTCACCTTAAATAAAACGGACCCTTCAGTCAGGCAAGGTCCAATATTAGCCAGGCTCCACTCAGGGAAACAAAAATCACTTTAGTTAAAAGGGGGGAAAAATCGTCCAAGGAACTAGTTAAAAGGACATTGGAGAACTAAAAAAGAAAGGGGAGGCACTGAAGTAACACAGAAATGGCAGGAAGCAGCTCCCACCCTAGGTGGGGTAACCATGGGAAGAGATTTGAGTTATTAGAACATAGAAGCTTGGAAGGGGGAGCTGGGACCCTGTGTAAAGGACACTAGGTGCCTCAGAAGAATGGGGAGGAGGGAGGCCTAAAATAAACTATCACTGCCAGAGTGGGGTTGTTGCTAGGGCAAGAATGTAATGGTGTTTTTCTTTTCATTTTTGGCAAATGAGTAGAACTTTGTGTTATTAGTGTGACAATGATCTTTCTCACATTATTTGTGATCATTTTATTATTTTTTTTAATCCTCACCAAGGATTTGTTTTTATTGATTTTAGAGGGAGAGGAAGGGAAAAGGAGGGAGAGAGACACACACATATTGATGTGAGAGGGAAACATCTATGGGTTGCCTCCCAGATAATCCCCAACCAGGGATGAAACCCACAACCTCGGTATATGCCTTGACCAGTGATTGAACCTGCAACCCTCCAGTGCATGGAACAATGTTCCAGCCAACTGAGCCACACCTACCAGGGCTGTGATCATTTTGTTTTAAGATATTTTGTATTATATTGTGTACTTCTTTGTGAATCTCCTCAAAATCTTTTGGAAACCTCTAGAATATTTCTATCTCTGTCTATACTACTGTTGTCTTTATCTTCATCTATATATTTATCTGTAACTTTTTTTTTTACCTCTATTTAGTTTATTTTTACTGCCATGTATGCCTCATCTACACCTCTATATGCAATACTTTTATCCACATCTATAACTGTGAGGGAGACAGGGACAGTAAATTCTGTCTTTTAGTTTCAGTTGTGTGTTTTAACCCAAATTTGAATATAAAAGCATAATTAGGAAGCTTTTTACATAAAGACAGCTCAGGAATGCTCTTCAACCTCCACCATGTTTCCAAAAGAAAGCCTCGCATTGGAAAATGTACTAACAGGCCTGTGATATAATAGAACCCAAACTTAAAAAGTCCTAGCCCATCAAGAAATCCCATTCATCATTACCATTTTTAGAAAGGATATAAAAAATAAAATGTCAGAACTATAATGTCAGGACCATTTAAAATGTCAAGTTGTTGTTGCATAGCTTGGCTGTCTGCTGTTCTGATCAAACCTGCAACTGGCATAATAATTACAGATGATGCATTGCATTGTCATGCACAACTGGACCCAGATTTATAGCAAATCAGACAGAAATAGTCTCAGTGCCCAGCCTGAAATTTTCTCCTTTTTCTACATAGCTTAAGACTTTGCCATTGGAACAGAGCTTTTTACTGATTCAAGACATCATTTGGGGTTAGGAATGAGAAAGAAGGGCAGAGCGAAAGTTTCTCAATAAATCAGGACATAGTCATTTGTAATATACAGATGCAACAAGAGCCAAGAGACAGTAAACACGTTTGCCAAATGCATGTTTAATCTAAGGAGAATGCAAAACTGTGGAGACACTGCCTGGATCATCTAGTTCTACTTCAGATGCCAGTTATTTTAATTGTGCAAAAAAGCATACATGTAAGCTCTATTTTGAACTGAGAGATATAGAGACAGCTTTTTCAGTTTAATTGTCATATTCTGATCTGCTCAGAGAATACTAATGTCTAAGCAGAAAAATAGCAATGCTTCTGTGTAGGATCTTTATGGAAATCTCCATGGGACTTAAGATAAGTGATGTGTTCATAAACTGACACCAATTATAATAAAATCCTGAAATCAATAACATGTAGATGGGGAGAATTTCATTTCTTCTTAATTGAGATCTGGGAAAGGCACTCCGTTGTTGGCCTTCCATTGACAAGCCTTCTTAGAGGGTTTTAAGAAAACCTCCTCTCATGTCTGCCTTCTTCCCATTACAGATAACTTTCAGTACATTGGAGAAGTTGATGTTCTCAGAAATGACTTCCAGAAGATCCTGATCTTTTACTGTTCCACTGATAAACTCTTCTAAAGTCAATTCTCCTAGAAAATAATAAACAACCAATTAGAAGCTTTGACCATACTACTCACTGGCATATACAATATAGTCAATGGTATTATTATTATTGTCATACTTCTTTTGATATATTTTTTACTTCAATCAGACTCTAAATTCTTTGAACATTCTTATACAGAAAAGTATTCAATGGAAAGATTGGTAGTGAAAATAAAGATGAGAATAAAAGATAAAGTGCTCATGAATACATATGCATTCACATCTTTACACAGTATTGATTACTTAGCCATTAATCTTGAAAATATACAAAGTAATAAAAGCATAAAGATTCAAGTTTTCTAAGATCTGGAGAAAATAGTTGTTTGCAAGGCTACTTTTAGTGTTCTTCTAAGAAAAAATTCTAGATTGTCCAAAGCTGGGAAGAAGATTAAACATTTATTCATTCCACATAAAATTATAGGTTATTAGTTCTCCTCTTCTGTTCTAATTTTTTATTCCTAATTTTATTACTTTGACTTAAGACTTAACCTCTGCTGACCAGTCTGATGCTATAAAAACACAGTAGACCTTTGAGTACTTGCTGCCATATTTTCCACTAGCCTCATCCTATAAGACAACTTTTTAACATTTTTGGTGGATATCTCAGTTGCCCTAAATATTCTATTAGATAAAAACCCAGGGTCCATAACAACCAACCAACGGCTCCAATGAACACCAGAAGTCAGTCCTGCAGTCATTGCTGGCTTGCCGTGGCGACCCAGCACTGACTGCCCAGGGGGCTGTGGATCAGGCCTGGAGAGATGCATGAAGAGAGAGGCAGGGTCTGATCCCCAACCTCCATGATCCTGTTGATCAGCTGTTACCTCTCTCTTTCCTTCCAGGCTTTACCAGCAGCATACCTCTGTTTCTTTCCAGGCCTCCGAGGGGGGCTGCTGATCAGCCCTACCTCTCTGATCATGCCTGGAGATGCTGACTGGCATAGAAACTGACCAATTAGAATCAAATCTGGGTGAAGTGTGAGGATCCAATGGCTACCTAGGAGGCAAAGCTTTTGACGCTGACTGGCATAGAAACCGACTAATCTGAACCAAATTGGTTAGTAGGGAAGGGCAGGCAGAGGAGGGCAGTTGGGAGCAACCAAACTGGAAGTTAGGTATCCTTCAAGGTATCTCTGATTGGAGAGGCTAGGCTAAGGGAAACCCCACCACCTACACACACACACACACACACACACACACACACACACACACACACACACCATGCACGAATTTCGTGCACTGGGTCATTAATTTGTATTATAATTATGAGCAGATTCAAATGAAGAATTGAATATAGATGCAATTTATTATTTCAAAAAGATTGTACCCAATGGAGTTTTGGCTGAGTGGAAGGCCAGCCAAAGACAAATACAAAGAGTAACTAGAGGATGTGTACTTGGGACAGAAAGTCAGCAGAGACTGAAATTAGATGTTACATTGTACCTGTACTTTTTAATGATAAGGACAAATATCTAATATACAACCATGGTGCCCAGCCAGTGTGACTCAGTTGATTGAGCATTGTCCCATGCACTAAGAGGTCACTGGTTTGATTCCTGATTAGAGCACATGTCCTTGTTGCAGGCTCGGTGCCCATAGGGGCATGCATTAGGCAGCCATTCCAATCATTCCCTCTCATCAATGTTTCTATCTCTGTCTCCCTTCCCCTTCCTCTCTCTATAAAATCAATACAGACATCTTAAAAATAAAAATACCATACGGATTCAAATATAAATAAGCATGAATCATCATATTCTCATAACATACATTTTTCTTTCACTGGTAAAATACTACAATACATTTTCCAGAGGGAAATCTATTTTTTGCTCCGTATGTTTTCCTTATGCCAAAGAAGTCTGTGCAAAACCACAGTTAACAGTGGGTAGGAACAGAATTCCCTATGTCTCACAGGGAATGTACAAGTGTGGAATAAACAACATGAAGCAGAGAAAACTAAAAATAAAAAAGTGTGTGGGTGGGGAGTATTACATGGGTGAAGAGATGGTGGGGAAACCACAAGCAACAAAAGAGTAACTGTCCTTTGCAAAGGAAATTCACGGCTGCTAACTTCTCAGCTCAAGAGATTTTTCAAATGAGCAAAAGGGAAGTGGGGAGCTGAAGTAGATTTTTGGCCACACTTTACACCTGACCACACACTAATCAGTGACTAATCAGTTGTCACACTTCTCTGTTTACTGCTGGCCGTGGAAGAAGCATGTCTGCAGGGTTGGTGTATAGTCACCAAGTTGATTAAAAAGCAATGCAGATTACGGATGTGAAAAAAGAGAAAGAGGAATTATTTTTCTTTATATTTTTATTGTGATATATTATTTTTTCTCTTTTTAATTTTATTTTCCAATTACAATTTATATTCAATATTATTTTGTATTCATTTCAGGTGTACAGCTTAGTGGTTAGACAATCATATACTTTACACAGTGGTTCCCCTTACTATTTCCACTGCCCACCTGACACCCTACAAAGTTGTTGCAATATTATTGACTGGATTCCCTGTGCTGTCCTTTCCACCCCGGGATTGTTTTGTAATGACCAGTTTGTACTTGTTCCCTTCAGATAGCTCTCCACAGCTGGTCAGTGTTGCAGGTGCTCTTCCATCCTCAGTACCAAGTTCAGCACTTTCACTGGTGACAGGACAGCTGCCCATGACTTTTTCTTTAGTCCTGTTTTTACAATCTGATCATCCTCTTCATCTTCCTGGCTTGTGTATTTCTTCCTATTAATGTCATAAATATCTTTTATAACAAGTCAAAAAAAGCACTACTCCCCAACCTCCCACCCTCCAAAACCCAAATGTGATTGTACATGTCCACATTATCAGATTTGCTCTAAAGAAATCAGTCTGGTTTTAAAAGGTTTCGTAAACCAGTCTGTGTAAGAAAAGGTTTTTGTCCCCAATTATTTCTTAATTCTTTTACATTAGAATGTCTGTTAGATTTGATCAAGCAATTGAATTGATATCCCTCCCCCAGGAACTGGCTTTTCAGGCCTTTTCACTATGGACATTCCCTTTGCTGACACCACATTTCACTTGCTGTGGCCACATTCCATGATCTGCCCTCCGGATGTGCACAAAGAAGTCTCCGCCCAGAAAAAGCCCGCCAAAAGTCCTTTAAAGTCCCCTGACTCCCATCACTGGGGCTGAAGCCTACCAGGCTCCACCACATGTTGTGCAGATGATTGAATAAATTCATAATCCCTCACATCATTCTGGCTCCTGTGTTCCTCCTTTGGCGACCTAATAATTTCAAGAAAAGAAATGGTGGTGGGTCTGGGAAATTAGCAAAGATGAGAATGGGGAGTCCCAGGAGATAAGAATGACCAGATATTCAAGGAAGGATGCTGGGGAAGATTTCCAATGAAACCAGCTTTGTGTTTGTTAGAAAGGTGGCACTAGAAGTGTTTAGCAGCATTTTATAGCTGAGAAGTTTTATTTTGTATTTCAATTACAGTTTATTAAGAGTTAGTTTCAGCCGAAACCAGTTTAGCTCAGTGGTAGAGCGTCGGTCTTCGGACTGAAAGGTCCCAAGGTTCGATTCCGGTCAGAGGCATGTACGTTGACTGCGGGCACATCCCCGGTAGGGGATATGCAAGAGGCAGCTGATCGATGATTCTCTCTCATCGATGTTTCTAACTCTCTATTCCTCTCTCTTCCTCTCTGTGAAAAATCAATAAAAATATATTTAAAAATCAATAAAATATATTTTTTGGGAAAAAAAAGAGTTAGTTTCAGGTGTAAAGCATAGTAGGGTAATCACAAAGCAGATGTTTAGGGTAAAACAAAACAAAGCAAAGAAAACAAAACAAAAAAACACACACAAATAAATGGGAACAGAGCATAAAGGAAGACATCGAGTGACTAATCAGAGTTTTTAAATACTATCATAGCAGAGATGTTTTTATAACTGTATTTTTATTGTTGATACTCTTACAGATGTCCTCATGCCCTCTTTGCCCACCTCCACCCAGTCCCCATACCCCCTTCCCTTTGGCTAATAACACACTGTTGTCTGTCTCCATGGGTTAAGCATGTACATATGTTCTTTGGCTGCACTTAAAACTCAAAATACAATCATAGCAGAATTTTAAGTAGAGCAGTTTCTTCCCTTATATGAGGAATCTGTTTCCTCTGATCTCCTGGTAGTTCTCAGTTTCCCAGTTTGCTTCACTGTGACCTTTGTGGCTTTCCAGAAATTCCATTCTAAAACACATCTTTAAAATATATATATATATATAGCCGAAACTGGCTTGGCTCAGTGGATAGAGCGTCGACCTGCGGACTGAAAGGTCCAGGGTTCGATTCCGGTCAAGGGCATGTACCTTGGTTGCGGGCACATCTCCAGTAGGGATGTGCAAGAGTCAGCTGATCAATGATTCTCTCCCATCAATGTTTCTAACTCTCTATCCCTCTTTCTGTAAAATATATATAATTTTATTTATTTCAGATAGGAAGGGAGAAAGAGATAGAAACATCAATAAGAGAGAATTGTTGATTGGCTGCCTTCTGCATGCTCCCCTCTGGGGATCAAACCTGCAACCTGGGCATGTGCCCTTGACTGGAATCAAACCAGGGACCCTTCTGTCTGCAGGCCAATACTCTATCTACTGAGCCAAACCAGCTAGGGTACATCTTTTGTGGTTCAATGTCTTCCTTCATGTCCTGTCCCTGTTTTCTTTTACCCTAAATGTCTGCTCAATCCTCTTTCACTTCCCCTTTGGGTTCCTTTTGTCTCCTTTGACTTTTACTATTTATTTTTATGAGCCACTTAAGTCTCCCTTGTCCCTGTGCTATTTGACGCTGTGTTAAACTTTCAGCACTTAATGTGGTGTGAATAGCATCTATAAATCTTCCACAATCATCTCAGGAATGACTTCTAAGCAGCTCATGATGGAATGGGGATTGTTCTTCCTGTGGTAAAGGTTATGGAATTCCACGCTCATTTATCCTGACTTGTTTCGCTGTCTTTTCATTCTTCAATAATAATTGAATGTTGAACTTTAATTTTCTGTCTTTGAGGAGAATTCGCATCAAGTTCTCCTTCCTGGATGCTACACACACACACACACACACACACACACACACACACACACACACACTGGTAATATGCAAATTTGCCGGGTATCACAACCGGCTCAGGAAGAGGCTGCATCACAACCACTCAGGAAGAGCTGAGCCCGCAGATGGGCAGGAGTGCACTGTGTGCTGCCCCAGCCCCAGCGGACACACACCAGGGGTGAAAACATGCTCTGAGCAGCCTTAGCATGGCTCAGATCACACCCCTGGTGTGTGGTGGCAGTGGCAGGAGCAAAGCAGCCCGGGGCCCAGGTGGCAGCAGCGAGAGTGAAGTGGCCCAGGTCCTGGGTGCCAGAGGAAAGCCAGTGCCAGCAGCCAGGGGGAGGAAGGTCTATTCTTGCACGAATCTTTGTGCATCAGACCTCTAGTATAAAAATAAAACTAACTATATAATACATGCTCATGGTAAAAAATTCAAACACTGCTAAAAGGTGTAATGAAATGAAAGAATCTCCCTTTAACCTCTCTCTGGCCCCCCATTTGCACTCTCCATGGATAATTAATTCCTGCTAATCAATCTGTGTTTATATTTTTTGAAGTTTGCAATGCATATGCATATATGTTAATTTCCAAAGTAGCTTTCTTTTAAAAAGGCTTTTCTTCCCACAGATAGCATTGAATATTACACTTGTTTCTTCTTTGTTTCTTCCTTTACTTTTCATATGACATCTTCTTATCAGTCATTCTTTTTGCCACTATTTCAAGAGTATCTACTATGTACCATGAAGTGTGAGAGAACAGGAAATACTAAAGAAGATACAATGAAAAAAGTTCTTGCCCTGACAAGTATGGCTCAGTTGGTTGGCCTTCATCTGATGATTACTGGTTTGATTCCTGGTCAGGGCACATGCCTTGGGTTGTGGGCTCCATTCTTAGTAAGAGAAATGCAGGAGGCATTGTATTTATGTTGTTCTCTCACATCACATCAATGTTTCTCTCTCTCTAAAGATCAATAAACTATTCTTAAAAAAAATATATAGTTCTTGCCCTCATGGAGCTTATAGCTCTTCATTTTTAATTTTATTAGCATTATTCCTATATTTCTCTTTTGATTAAACTTCTAACTTTGATTTGTTAACTGCAATGATAATTATGTGTAGAATACTTTGGAGTTGTTATATATATATATATTGTACAAACATATTTGATGTTAGTAATTCTTTTGCAAATAATTTGCAGTCTAATTGGGACTTTCATATATAGTATGTTCCTGAAGTTTTTCTGTTTGTATCTTGGTGGGTTGTGATCTTTATCTTTGGTGTCAATATTCATTGGATCATCAGGTACTAATGAAGTGCTTGCTTTTTATACACATACTAGAGGCCTGGTGCACGAATCCCTGCATGGGTGAGGTCCCAAGGGGGGAGGAGGATGAGGTGCTAGGACACTATTGGCCCTTTAGTCAGGTGTTGGGATGTTCTTTCAGGCCTGAGATCTGGATCTGTCCCACTGATATTCTTGCCGATTATTGGGAGCCATCTGGTGGCCACTTTTATATTGTTTCTTCCTTGCGAAGTGTCTAGAGAGGGGAAGTGGCCATGGTGCCCAAGGCTGACTTCCAGAGGTCAGCCATGCTGTTGGGATTGTGTGCCAGAGGTGCTGGACTACTGGTGGTGTGTGGCCTGTTCTCTGAAGATTAGACCTGCAGGACTACTGAGGGAGTGAGTGGCTGCTGCTGGGCCACTGGGAGGGGTTGGTCAGCTGAGTGGCGCTCCCACTGTGGGAATACACGGACCATGAGGTGCAGCTCCTGCATTGAGCATCTGCTCCCTGGTAGTCATTGCATGTCATAGTGACCGGTGGTTGTAGTCATTCAGTTGTTTGATCGCTTAGGCTTTTATATGTAACATGGTTATCTTTATATATATAAAATGTTGGCATATAGTCAACACTATTCTGATATACTTAATTGAACATTTTTATTTCTACCAACACTGATGTTTTTATAACAATAAAAATAAAAATAATCATATTATATTAGGCTTATATAAATGTAGAGACATTCTCTTCTGTGGTACTAACTTCCCTTTTATGTGTAAATAAAGCACTTCTTTCTCCTCTGTCAAATACTGGCAAAGTTCTTTTACACTTCTGCAAATATCAACCTTGTGCATCTTTATTACTTTCTCTTCCTTGTGCTCTGGCACACTGAGCTGTCTTTGTCCAACAGTACAATTTTAACATCTTTTCTTTGGTCCTTCTGGGAAGAACCCAGTTGTCTCTTGACGAGATGATATAACAACCCTTAATAATTTCCATATAAAAAGCAAACTATCAGTTTTAGCTCTCCATATGCATTTGTCAAGACACAGCAATTCATTGTTATTCCAAAGTGCAACTAGTTTATTTGATATCTTTATTTTCTAAAAGCCAATGATATTTTTTTTCTTACATACATGTTTCTTTCAGAAAAAATGATTCATGTGATTAGTTCTATATGCTATTCCGTAAATCAAAAAGCATTTTCTATCTTTTGACATATTCTTCCAGATCAAAGAGCTCACCTTTCTAACTACAAATAACCTCAATTATTTCCTGAGCACAATACCTTTACTTCCTAGATCCACAACCTTTCAACCCAGATTTTTCTTTCTAGACGTCTTCCAGCCCATATTCCCCATTTTAATGGTTCCTTATACTTTGTTCTTGAGAAAACTGCATAGATAGTACTAATAAACAAAGAGTCTTCCATCATTGTCTTGTTTTCTGGGACATATTTTCTGTTCCTTCAAACTATCGATAATAGAATCTGAGCCGTTTCTTAAGGATACTACTATCCTCATATTTCTCCAAGGAAGGTCATCTTTTGTTCTATCCCACTTCTCCCCACACTAGAAACAGGATCTATAGATATTTTCAAACATTCTTGACCTGACTTTTGAAAATTTTGTGTACTAAGTCTTACACATTTGTGATGCTCTATCTCATCCTTTAATCAATGGTTTCAGCCACCAGGGAGAAATGGTTTATCCTCTCTAATCTAATCTTTGCCATCCTGGAGGACCACTGAAACAAAGCAGAAAAGAATCTGTAGCATTTCTCCTGTTTGGTGATCACTATTTTTGGTTGCATATCTCAAGTAAGGTTTCATTGACTTCATAAGACTTTCCATTCTCCATTTCTCTGGTCCTTTTCTAGCTTCACTAAACTTCCTTATCATCTCTGCCTAATCTGCATGTGTTCCTTAAAAGTTTTCATATGAAATGATTTATTTTACTTTCAATCTGTAGAGACCCAAATATGAGCAAATATACCAAATGCTTTGATCTTGGTAAAGTAGTAAGTGAGCATTCTGACTTTAGATTAAGGTGAGGCTGATGTACAACTAGATCCTCCTTACAGGGAGGATAGATGGTATTGATTATTTCCAAATACTTTTCTGAAAATTCTACTCTTGTCCAGTTTTTCTGCTCATTCCTAATGGGGATCTCATTTGAACTCTCTTTCAGCCTCCTCATCATCCCGTCCTGCCAGAATGAGCTACCACATTTGACTAGTGCAAACTGCCATACTCAACATGGGTCTCTACTGCCCTCTAATGCCCACTATAAGAAGAGACCCAGGTGGACAGGTTGAACCTGTGGAAAAAGTTACTGTGAATTAATGACAACCATGGCTGGAGTCCCAATGCCTCACATCCATACTTCTTAAAAATCTCTTACTAACATTATCTATCTATATAATAGAGCAGTTGCAAATTAGCCATAATGCCATAATGTCACAACCGAACAGCAGGGACCTGAGGTTGCATGGCGCCTGGCCTGGGTAAGGGACTTCAGGCAGCATCCCCGCGCGGCAGGGCTTGATGGGGGACCTCAGACCGTGCCCCCCACCTGGAGGGGCTTGACAGGGGTGTAGCTGGCCAGGTATGGGTCTCACCCAATGTGGGTGTGGCTGGCTGGATCTGAGTCTCCTGCGTTTTCAAAGCGTATGCAGTTGGTGAACTGAGACTTGACTCTAGGTCCCGTGGTGCATCTCAGACTCTGACAGGAGGGAGATTTTCATATACATTTTACTAATTTTCTTTCTTCTCTGACACTTCTGTTACAGAGAAAAGGAAAATAGCAATATTAAAATATTTCCTCTAATTAATTCCCTTTTAATGTGCATGAACTTCATGTACCAGGCCATTAGAATTTTATAAAATTACAAACTTTGTTATTTTTTGAGGACCATTCCTAGATATGCTGCCTCAATCTCAAATTAATATGCTCACATAGCCAATTGTGTAAGCACTCTTTCTTCTCTTGGAATATCTGTCTTCTCTTTTAACTCTGCCTCTGAAGAAGTGAACCTTCTTTGATCCAAAGAGGAATCCATATTTTAGGGTAGAAAGAGCAGATGGAGAAATAAACAGAAAAAGCAGAAATGGAGGTAAGTTTGGACAGCTCTTTCCATAAATGTATAGCCAATAGGAAGAAACAATGATTAATACTAGAATAAGATAGCATAATTGATAAAAGGGTTTCTTCAGTAAGGAACATTAAAGTTTCTTTGTAAGTTTATAAGAAACCTCTGGTAGAGTAGAAATTATGACTGGAACATGTCCCAGAGCAAACAGCATATTTTCCTACTTTTCTTTCATCTCATATTTTTCCACTTTTCTTTCCTTGTATCTCCATGCTAAAATATCAAGCACAATGTATTGAATATAAATATGGTCAATAAATATTTCCTCAAATTGTACCAACTGGAAAACATTAGACTGGTCAAATTCTGTAGCTCAAATGTTATCAAAACTAGGGATCTCTTTAAACATTCATGCTTTTGTCTGAACAGCACTTCCCACCATCTCTTACTTTGGAAGAAAACTGAGCTTAAGGAGAGAAGCTGCCTTACCATCATGGTTTATATCAATTTTATGAAACACCAAGTTGGCGAATTCTTCAAGACTCAGAGTTTGCTGACCATTAAGGGCTTGTACAGTCTGCAAAGAGAAATTAAATCAGGGAGTTCCACTTGGCTGGAAATAAATACATTTTATGACACTTCTACCCCAATGTGACAGAGTTTGGGGATGTGTACATATCAGTGCTACCTGTTCTAATTGTTAAAAATAAAAGATTACATGCCAGTTCTTAATAGTGAGGCTTGGAAGTTAAATGAACAAAGTACAGTCTGAAGTTCGATTTCATACAGCACAGAGGGATCTGTTCAACATGTTAGGTAGGTCACAAAAGATGCCAAGAGCCCACAGAGAAAAAACTTGTAGCAGTCTCAGTCATAACAACTACAGACCCAGGAAACAGACAATGTTTTCCATTCCAGACCGAATGTCTTTGACCTTACGAATGAATATAAAAGGATGATCTGTAAGTCCCTAAGGATTCCTTTCTGGCTTCTGACAGTGGAACCTCTTGTTCTTTCTGTCCTTTTATAGATGTTCGACTGGGAAGAGATAGGTATGCCTTGGAAAGACACCGAGTTTCTCTCACACTCTGCCAGCACCTCTTTGTTAAAAAGTTTCACGGGAATCAGGGAAAATGTCACTTCCAGTTCTCCCCCACCCCACTCCCTACCCAAGGTGATTAAATTAAATGGCCTATATTTGACATTGAAATTCATAATAAAGTGAAAGAGAGACACACAGAGAGAATAAATTAGAAACACAGAGAGGATAAATTTGAACATAACTATCTTGATTGAATACCAAGGGATCTTTGGAAGCACTGGTGGCAACCCTTTTCAATTAGAGGGCATGGCCTTAAATATGACTATCTCTTTTACTGCTTCCAAAGCACTACTAGTTTTGAAGCCAGGATTAATCATAATAAATAGTGGAAAAGCACCGCTTGTGGCTTTAGCAAGTCGAGGTCTTACCGTCAAACATAGGGTAATACTTAGAGTAATAGTTACATCTATGGAGCATTTTATTATATGAAGTTTTTAGGGTTTTTCAGTGTCTTAGCAGGGATCCCAACACCTAGAAATGTGGGTATGTCTTCATATTCCCACATCCTGAATTGATACTAGATCACAAGAATCATAATAAAATATAAAATTTATAGGAGTTGCCCACCACGCATCCCCTGGCAATGTCTGTGAGAGTGAATGCTTGATTAGAAGGTGACAAAGCTTGAGGGGATAATATTTTTGAAAGGAATTGTCAGTGTGCCTTGTGTCTTCCCCCTTCTTATAGGAGAAGCATGTGAGGAGAGAGCAAGGAGGCATAGTTTGTTTCCTTCCTCATTTAGCACATGCTCTATCTCCTGCATTTGGCTGAGCCTTTCTCTGGCCACTCTCTGAGTGGGAGCAGGAGGAGGTGTGAGAGAAATGGAAGCAACAGAGCTCTGACTTGGTACTCTCTTGGTTATCTAGTTTCAGAGCTCCGGATGGCAGATGTCTAAAGTCCACCCTTTTCAGCGCCCCCCCACCACCACCACCTCCTTTTTATTACTGAGACTCTCTCTTGCAGTTCTCTAAACATAAGCAGACATTTTTATTTCAGCTGATCCTTCCAGGCTCCTCTACAGCTCCCAGGTATTTCTCAACACATTTACACAATTGGCATCTTGGACTAGACAATTCTCTCTTGTTTAGGATCATCCCTTGCAAAATGCTTTACAATAGCTCTGGTCTCTAAACAATAAGTGGTGGTAGCCTTGTACCCTCCCCAGCTCCCCAGCTCCCCAGCTGACAAGCAAAATATTCTGTGACATTGCCAACCATCTCCCAGAGAGGAGTGTACAGTAGCTCCTGGTTGAGAGCCATTCTCTCTAGATCTATCTCTCGTTTCCTTCTTTTGAGGTTGCCTCACTTCCCCAGGGGCTCAGCTGGACAAGACCCAAGACAACGCTAACACAGCTTCCGCTCCCAGTGACCCATATCTGATCCATGGAGAAACCCAGGCATCCTTCATCCCAACAAACTCTAGAACTGCAGGCATTTCCTGAACATCATTCCTCTAACTGCTGCCTGTTCAGATATTTCAGGTCTGACTCAAACACTCAACACTGTGTTCCCACATCACAATAGTCTCCTCAAAACCTCATGCTGTCGATTTTAGGACCTTTATCCAAGAAATCCTTTCCTATAATCCTTCTCACAAATGCTCCTCTTGACCATTGATTCTGCCTATAAATTCTGCCTATAAATTCTGCCTATAATCTAATTGCTATATTAGATCTATTAATGCCTGGACTGAATTCCATTTCCACATTTTGATATCAGGTGTTGAGAGAATTCATATTGTACAGTATGTATTATTTTTTGCCCTGCTGGGTTGTTTGTTTTTTTTTTTTGCCATAATATAGAAACTTATATTCGCAGGCCACTAATTTTTTATAAGTACATATTCCATTCAATTAATTTTAAAAATTTAAACATTTTCTTTTTTCAGGTTGTTTTTGCATTTTTACTTAAGTGATTCTGTGATGTAAGTCATAGAACTTCTATCTTTATGACATTAATGATTCTTTTCCTAACCTAAAGTAACTAATGTTGACTTTAAAATAAAAATTTAGCGTCTTAATGCAAATTACCAAATTACCAAGAATGTTATAGGCATTTATATTTCCTCCACAATGTTTACGGGTACTCTTCTTATAGTGTCCTTGCCAGAAATACATCTTATTGTTTTTATCTTTATTAATTTAATTAGAGACAAATAGTATCCAATTACTAAATGAATGTCTGCTCTGAACTTTTATTATTTTAGTTTCTCTACTTTTTTGTTTTTGTTTGTTTGTTCTCTTCCTAAACACTTTCAGGAAATGCTGAATTAACTGCCTAGTATTTATCTCTCTCTGACTCATTAAGTTACACATTTTAATTAATGAAAATCTATGTAATTTTCCCATAAAACTTAGACAAAACCTCTTTTATCCTTTAGTTCTTCCTAATTCTTTTGAGACTCTGATAACCCTTTCTCTCCCCTGTGCATACAGCGCCTGGGGATGCCGTATGCACAGATCCTAGGATAAGAAGCTCTGCTCTGGGTACTGCTTTACAGGTTTCCCCTACCATCTGTATGCTGTATTAGATATGCAGTGTTTTTAAAGTAAGTTGGAATTTATTTACTTAAGAAGATATTTTCAAATTTATATGGGGTTAGGCACTCTCTGTAGAACATTTTAGATTCTTAATTTTGTGTTGCAAAATGCAGAATTTCTGAATTTAGTGCTTACAGAATTTGATTACACAGTGCCCCTTAATACATTTTTGTGAATGATCTATGTGAGATTAAAGTGGAAGCAATAATAGTATTATCATATTTTTTAATTATTTTCATGTTTACTAGCTCTACATTTTCTAAAAGTTTTATATTTTAACTACTTTGTCCATTTGAGATATTTAATTAAAATTATAGTTCCAGCATTTTCACTACTATTTCTGCTATAAATTATGTTTGTAACTCAACTCTTTCATCTATAAATGAGAGAATTTAGACCAGATTATTTCTAAGACATATGGTTCTAATGCTGACTCTGTTTTACAGTATACTACACTCATAATGTTTATTTTACTTCATATATTCATTTAGATACAGTCTCCCACTTAATCACCTTTTACTTTGAAATCCATATTATCTCATACAATGATAATAACTATTCCCACCCTATTGGTAAAGGGGTGCTAAATTTATAAAAGGACTTACTGAACTTTAGGGATGGAAATGATTAGGTATTCCTGAGCTATCTGTCAGAAATACTTTAGTCAGCTCCCAGAAAGATTAGTGCTCAGGTATCTTTAGTCTTTGTCCATGTCTCTTGTTATATAAGCTATCTTCTACATTAGCTGTTCTTTGCAAGACTTTCTGCACCAAGGCAGAAAAAAAAAGGTACCGTATTTTCCGGCATATAAGATCACCCCCCAATTTTACAGTTAAAACATAGGTTTAGGCCTATATTTGCTGTATAAGACTATTACCTCCCCCCCTCACTTCCGAGGCAACACCAGTTCTTTTTTTAATAGACCGCCTCTCTGAATCTGGCCAATCTGAGCAGGCTTTTTACTAGAACACAGTGTAGCTTCGGGTACAGAACATGTATAATTTGCATGCATAGAAAGCCTGCTTAGACTGGCTGAGTTAGAGGGGCGGTCTATTAAAAAAAGAACTGGTGTTGCTTCAGAAGTGGGGGGTAGTCTTATACAGTGAATATAGGCCTAAATCTATATTTTAACTGTAAAATTAGGGGGTCGTCTTATATGCCGGAAAATACGGTAAGTTGTTTTAGATCGTTATGTTTATTTTATTTTTCATTTCAATACTCTGCTAAATTTGTGAACTTCAGAGTGGACTACACACAGAAGAAAATGATTTGTAGTTGTATACTCAGAAACCAATAAGATAGTGAAACTTAAATTGTTTCAGCAGTTTCAAATGCATCTCCCAAAATAGCCTATCACATAGCCGTCACCCACTCCATAGGGAGGAAAATTGAATTAACTATATAACATTCTGCAAAGGATATTTGACTACTTTGCTCACCATGAAGATGTTCAGCAGTTCCTTTTTGTCAATAGAACCATTTCCATCAGCATCAAACATACAGCTTAAAACACCACTTTAATTTTAGCTCCATTTTCCCTCGTACAACTAGATTTACAGCAGCAGTAAACCCTAGAAAGTCAATAAATCCATCTTATGGAGAGTGAGGTCGAAATAGAAACAAATATTTTAAAACAACAATTGTTTTTTATTTGAGAAGTTATCATTTATGAGCAGACCTTTAGTACATTTTAATATAACCCACAAATTTTTAGCATAGAACTTTCTCCTGGTGTTTCATTTAAAAAATAATATATAGGGCCCTGAATGGTGTGGCTCAGTTGATGGAGTATTATCCCATACAACAAGAAGTCACCAGTTAGATTCCTGATCAGGCCACATGCCTGGGTTCAGGCTCAATTCCCAGTAGGGGTTGGGCAGGAGACAGTGATCATGTTTCTTTCTTTTATCAATATTTCATTCTCTCTCCCTTTTACTCTTTAAAAAATAAAATAAAAATTATGATAATATATAGGTGTGTGTATAGGGAAAATGGGTATATAAAAAATGAAATTAGTAACTTTAATAGGTAGGAAAGTACCTTTTTGAAGAAAATCCCTAATTCTTTTTTTTTTAATCAATCTTTATTGTTCATATTATTACAAAGGTTCCTCATTTCTTCCCCCCTCCACCAGGTTCCCACCCCACCCTCTGCTCCCTCCCCATCCCCCATTGTCCTTATCCATAGGTGGACAGTTTATGTTCAGTCTCTTCTTCCATCCCTTTCCCCGATAGTAAATCCCTTTTCAGATAGTAAATCAGTTACTTAGCATTTTCTCATATCAATAATACCTCCACATGCCCAATGATACACTTCACACAAAAGACATTTCCCAAAAGGTCAACTAGTCTCATCCAGGCTCCACCCAAGGCACTCACAGATCAACACCCCGTCCCTATACTAACTCAACACATCCAGATCTAAGCCTTCATCACTTGATTCAGCAGACCCTCAAGTTCCTGCGAAAGTTTCCAGCCATATCTGAGAGGCAGCCGTGGGGCAGGGGCAGGTGAGGAGCGAGCTGTTCCGGGCCTGGCTGCTCAGGGCCTGGCCTCTGTTGCTCTGGTTCGTTCCACAACCAGCTGCTCTGGGTCTGGTCACTGCCGCTTCCAACCTAGTTGCTCTGGACTTGGCTGCTGCTGCTCTGGGCCTGGCTGCTCCCAGCCTGGCCGCTGCTGCTCCGGGCCTGGCCGCTTCGAGCCTGGCCGCTGCTGCTCCGGGCCTGGCCGCTCCCAGCCTGGCAGTCGCTGCTCCGGGCCTGGCTGCACCCGACCCGGCTGCTCCGGGCCTGGCCGCTCCCAGCCTGGCAGCCGTTGCTCCGGGCCTGGCTGCACCCGACCCGGCTGCTCTGGGCCCGGCTGCCCCAGGCTCGGCCGCTCCGAGCCTGATCACTCCCGGCCTGGATGCTCTGGGCTTGGCTACTGCTGTTCTGGGTCTGGCTACTCCCAACCCGGCTGCTCTGGGCCCAGCTGTCCCAGGCCTGGCCACTCCGGGTCTGGGGGTTCCTGGACTGGCCACCCTGGGCTTGGCCACCTCCGCCTCAGGCCTGGCTGCCACTGCCCCAGGTCTGGCTGCTCCAGTGCTGGCTTTTGATGCTCTGGTTCTGGCTGCTGCTGCTCTGGGGCCTGGCTGTTGCTGCTCCAAGCCCGGCTGCCACTGCTTTGTGCCTGGCCACTCTAGGCCTGGCCGCCGCTGTTCCAACATTCTGCCCTTTTTTTTCTTTTTTTTTTTTAAAAGCGCATTTATGTTGCAATGTTGGCTGGTGAGTTGTGTTCTGACTTAGTCTTTGATTTTTCAAGAACTTCTTTGTATTTTTTCTTAAGTAATTTTACTATCTTTTGCTCTCACTTGATTTCTTCACATTGAGAACTTCTTTGGTTTCTTCCTCCTTGTCCTGGGAGCTCAGCAGGTTGGCCTGTGGCACCCCTTTGTTCTCCGCGGGCTCCTACGCTGTTTCAGCCTGTTGCTGGGGACGGCGCCGCCCAGGAAGCAGCCCCTGGCTTTGGCTCCATTGCCCGCACTCAGCGGTCAAAGGCTCAGGGGCACCCACCCCCCCCAGAGGCCCTGTCGCCCGGCTCCTTGCTGGTGCATGGTTGGCTGGTGTCCGGCAGGGGCTCCTGCTCCCCGCCGCATTCCCCCAGCCTGGAGCTTTTTTTCTCCTTGCTGCTAGAGGAGTCCAGCATCAGAGTCAACAGACTGTCCTCTGCGCACAGTGTGCACGACTCCGGGGGCTCGGCTTTTCGCCACTCTCCCCAGACTCCACCTCACAGGCCCGTCTCCCTCTGCCTGAGCCTAGGTCCCCAGGGATTGGCCCAGAACTGGGGTTCGGAGCAGTCTGGACTGAGGCTCAGCACCGCTGGAGGCCTTGTTTCTTCTGGCTAGGGTAACCCAGCATCAGAGTCAACATTCAGTCCTCTGCGCGCGCATTGCGTGCGACTCCGGGGGCCCTGCTTTTCGCCGCTTTTCCACCTCACAGCCCCGTCTCCTCCCGCGGGAGCCTGGGTCCCCAGGGTCTGGCCCATAACTGGGGCTCAGCGCTGCCGGTTCGGGGGGCTCAGCGCTGCCGGTTCGGGGCTTCAGCCCAGGCTGGGGGTTTTATTTCCTTCCTGCTAGGGAAGGAAAGGCGGCTCCCCGCCCTCTCCTCCTCTCCGGCTGCGACCTCTCCGCACGCGCGTGTGGGTGGGCGCGCAGCATGTCTCCGTACCTTAGGCTTTTTTTCAGCTCCTCTGATTTTCCTTCTGGTTTTCTCTTTCCTTCTTGTAGAATTTTCAGTCAGTCGACTACCTGTAGCTCTGGGCAATGTCCACTCTACATTTTATTTGTATTCCATTGAAATTGTTGTGTGCTGCCGTGGTTAGATGTCTACCCGAGCAGCCATCTTGGATCTTCTCAAAATCCCTACTTCTTATACCTAAAATGAAATGGTTCTAAAATGCCATGACAGAAGACTGAGCCCTCACCACTTAGCACCTACAGTGGTTGTCTTCTCCTCTGAATATTCAGGTGTTGCTGTTCACTCAGGGAGAAGATCAGGTACTCATTTTCAGTGGAAGGAAAGCATCTCAAGTTGCCAGATTCTGCACTCCTTTTTAAAGATGCTGGTTGATCATTTTGGACTGCTAAATTTCAGGATTCCTTTTAAGGGACTAATTTTTGGTGTCAACCAAAATTTATGAGCTTCTTTACTCTAGTAATAGAATAAAAAGCCTGACTCTTAAAATGGGTGCTCTCTATACATCTGTGTGGCATTAAGCTTCTGTTTCTCTGTGCTATGGAAAAAAGATGCTGTAAGCTTTAGAACTCATCACTGTATGTTCTGCAAGTGTTTGTGGACATAATAAAAGTTATATGATGCTTCTACTTAAAAGAAAAAGATGTCATATTAGTCCACCTTAGAAAAGATTGTTTAAGGGTTGCAAATTTAGGTAGTTCTTTTATCCTTTTTTAAACTGGTGAAATGTTCTGAAAAAGGCAAAGTCGTATAATTCATAAGAACCATATACTTCGAACTTTATTCAGCCAAACATTCAACCATCTTAAGAAAGGTGGTCAGCTCTGGTGTGTGACTCACTCTGTTATTTTTCCATGAGTTCAAATGCTGGTGATAGAATATCCAGCCCAAGACATGCTGTCAGCTGCATTTTCATTGGAATATTTGGAATGTCAAGTTTTTGTTGTTGTTGTTGTTGTTGTTGTTGTTGTTTTGTTTTTTAATCTTCATTGTTGAAAGTATTCTATAAGTACCCTCCCCCCACCACCATTGATCTCTTTCAGCCCACACCCGCCTCCCACCCCTGGCCTTCACCATCCTATTGTCTGTGTTCAGGGGTTTTGCATTTATGCAGACAAGTTCATTGGTTACCATTTGCAGCAGCATGGATAGAATGTCATTTTTTACAAAACTGGATGTGACATAAAGTACCCATTTCCCTTGGAAATAAGTGTTTAGACTCATTGGTCTATAAAGTGATATGTGTTTGTCCTGAGGTAATTCCACCAGATCTCTAAGAAAAGCAACTGAGAAATCAGTAGGTCTGGATGTGAAGCAGAGTCTGTTTGGGTAATGTTTTTGTTGTGTTTTTTTTTAAGAAAAAAAAAAAAAAAGCAACATCATCATCTCCAATATTGGAAGCCAATGTGCTAGTCACTCTAGCATTATCTTAAAAATGTATTACATTTTAAAATATTCTTCATGCTGTAAATTTTAACTTCTATAGTAAAAAATATGTTTAAAAAAGCATAAGATATTTTAAAATCATATATCACTATATTTGGGTGTTAGAGTTTTGTGTGTGTGTGTGTGTGTGTGTGTGTGTTTTAATATATATTTTATTGATTTTTTTACAGAGAGGAAGAGAGAGGTATAGAGAGTTAGAAACAATGATGAGAGAGAATCATAGATCAGCTGCCTCTTGCACACCCCCCACCTGGGATGTGCCTGCCCTTGACCGGAATCGAATCTGGGACCTTCCAGTTCGCAGGTCGATGCTCTATCCACTGAGCCAAATTGGTCTCGGTGGGTGTTAGAGTTTTTCATTTTACAATTTAGGCATCTTTACTCTCCTGATAACTTTAATACTTCTGATGAGACTAGAGGCCTGATGCATGAAATTCATGCACGTGTGTGTGTGTGTGTGTGTGTGTGTGTGTGTGTGTGTATCCCTCAGCCCAGCCTGCACTCTCTCCAATCTCAGACATCCCTCTTACAATCCAGGACTGCTGGCTCTCAACTGCTCATCTGCCAGCCTGCCTGATTGCCCCTAACCACTTCTGCCTGCCAGCCTGATCACTCCCTAACCACTCCCCTGCCAGCCTAATCAATGCCTAACTGTTCCCCTGCCAGCTCAATTGCCCCTAACTGCCCTGCTCTGCCAGTTTAGTAACCCCTAACTGCCCTCCCTTGCCAGCCTGGTCATCCCTAACTGCCCTTCCCTGCTGGCCTGGTCACCCCTGTCTTCCCTTGCCAGCCTGGTCCTCCTAACTGCCCTTCCCTGCCAGT